TAACACAGCCCTCCAGGCGCCTCTGGCTCACACCCACTGGGCAATGGGACGTTTTTTGCAGGACATGACACCTGGATTAGCACACGCGTAGTGGTTTCCTCGAGCGCCCCGTGGCACGTCTTTCCTCTCGCTGATGCATGTCCTCACGCAACCACAAACATCCCCTTCCCGACGCAACTCCAAGCCCGATACACGCACTCTCACGCCAACCACTGCGCAAAACCCTGAACCCAGGCTGCTGGCCCCGGAGCTCTCCGACGAGGGGCGCCCCCTGTCCGCGGACAAGCGGCGCAAGTGGTGCGACGACCCCGAAAACGTGGAGGGGCTGGAGCTCGACACAGACCACGTGTACACCTTCCACCTGTGGCAGCACGTGGGTGCTATTGGCTTTGATATTGGGGATGTCCTCTGGGCTTCTGCCCGCGGAGCGCAGCGAGGGTCGGGGGTATGAGGGGCGCGGCCCCGCTGACGGTGCGTCTTTGCGGGTGGCCAGCACGCCGCCCGCTTGTCGCAGCTGCTCAGAGGCCAGCAAACCAAATATAAAGTCCAATGAGAGTGGCTCAACATTTTCATCCCCCCGGCTGGTGGGGAAAATCGTGCCTCCACCCCACCATTACTTATGGACTCCGAGCGTCAGGCCTGGGTATTGTATCGAGACCAAATACATGCAGCATCAGACCTCATCGCCGTACCCCCCACACCCTACCACCCATTACCCCACCCCACAGATGATGGACTTTGGCACGTACCGCGCCCACCTGGGCTTCATGGCAATAGACCTGTGCCTGGTGGTGTCCAGCCAGCCGCTGCAGCTCTTCATAAAGGACGTCGACACGGGCGACTACGGCTACTCGGCACTGGTGAGCCGCGGATGTATCGTCACACTCACCATAACAGGCAGCACGCCAGAACAAGGGCCCAAGGCGCGAACATGCAGCAGCACCTGCCCCGAATGCAGCACAGCCACAGGCAGCCAGTGCCTTTCGAAGCCACTGACAGCCAGCTCCTGTTGTCGGCGTGCGGCGCACAAAAGCATGGCTGCGTCGCGTCGGCGGTGGACGGCCGGCTTTGGACGGCACGCCTTGATCAGAGGTGGAAGAGCAGCGCTTTGCAAGCCTTAGCACACACACGACGGGACACGTGCGCCTGCATTCTTGCCCTGGATGCCTGCATCCTCTTGCTGGGAACAGCTGCATGATGAAGGATGCCACCGCGCCCGCTCGTGCAATCGCGCTGTGTCATATGCAGGTGTGGCACGAGCGCCTGCTGTACCCCGATCAGAACGCCGCGAAAGCCAGGGAAGCCGCCAAGTCCAAGGGCGGCATATCCGGCCGCCTGCGCAGCCTGGGGCTGTGGTCGTGAGGCGAGGGGACAGGGGAGGGGAGCGGCCATGGAGGGCCCGCGCCGCGGCGCGTCGCGCCGCGGGTGGGCGAGTGGGAGCGCCGTTGGCTGCGCTGCCGCTGGCTTTGGCTGGCGGGGTCCCGCTCGGCGGAGCGGCAATCGGCAAGGGCCGGATACTGAAAGGAACGGGTAGGGGCAGGGGCGCCTCGCGCACTCCTTGCACGGAAGGGTCGCCCCGCTCGACCACACGGCAGGGGCGCCGTGACCGGCCGCCCTCGTGCATTCGCGAGCGGAGCGCCGTATTTTTTGTGCCAACAAATGCTGTGGGTTTGCAGGGCAGGGCAGCCCCGACAGGCGACCATGGACGCCCTGGAGTGGTCCATGGTTGCTGGGTGGCCCATGATGCCGAAAGGAAGAACCTTTGCGGGAAGCGCCATACGCACCACTGCTCCTGGTCGGTGCTTTTGCAATGACCTAGAGAAGCTGCCCGAGGCAATTGAGTCAATTCCTAATGCTTGTATGACCTGGCGTCACTCATGGCCACGCATCAGCTGCTGGGCACCCCCTTAATGTGAGTGACTTCAATGCTTTGTTTGCAACAGGGTCGTGGTGCGTCCCCTGGGCGCCCTGATCGAGCGTGCGCCGGGCGTCCCAAACCGACTGTTGACCGAGCATGCCCATGTTTGACCGCTGCGCCTAGTGTGAAGCAGACGACGCCTACCTTGCAGAAAGGGACCAAGCGCCGATCTGTGTCGCGCCGAACTACAGGAAAGTTTATATGATCCGTTTCCAGTCTTGCCCACGCAAGCTGCTCTTATCAATCGGCATTTTGCTGCAGATGCCTGACAGCTGCGCGCCGCCTTGTATGCGGCTGCGCGTATCGACGTGCGCACTCTGTTACAATTCACAAAAGAGTGGGGCGGGAATTGGGCATCGCGGCGGTCACACGCTCAGCGTTCTGTTGTGTGGAAGCGCCAGCAGCTGCAGTCCTGACGTCGGCCAATGTGTGTGTGTACACACATGGAGGTGCTGTCAAGGTTTCTTTTCTGCGTTCAGCGTCCAGGTCGATTGCGCCGCGCAGCCGAGCAGCAAGGCCTTGAAAGAGCAACGCCAGTTGCTCTTTCAGCCGTGCGCGGCGCAGCACAGGAGGGAGGGGTGGGGATACGCACAGAGGTGGCGGCGGGTGTCAAACAGGCCCGCAATCTGACCAGCGTCCTGCAGGCAGCACAGCGGTCGCATGCGTGTGTACGCGTTTGAGCAGTGGTGGATGCACCCGGCTCCGCCGTTGCTTTTTTGGGGGGCCGGGAAGGGATCACCACAGTTGAACGCGCGGTGATGCACAAGGGCAACGTTGCCCTTTGAGAGATGTGATGTGCGATGACATCCAATGACGTCATAATCGGTGTGGCAGTGGTTGTACGGGTGTGCTGGTCATAACGCAAGGCAGTCATGCGGCGCGCGGGGGTTGCACATGCGGGTGCATGCGTTGGTCGCAATTGCGATAGGGCCCAGCCTGGGGTCTGTCCCCGCCCCACCGAGTGGGGCAGGAGGAGGGCGTTCAGCGCTCAACCAATCGTGAACAGGCCAGAGCGGGGTCTGGCCCTGCACTTGAGGAAATTGAATGGTCACATGCGCCAGGTCGCAGGGCAAGTGTGCACTCTTGAAAATCATGCTCTCAACGGGTCGTGTATGCGCGCCTGCGCCTGCGCCGTGTGGCGGCGGTGGCGCCTGCGGGAAACAATTGAGGGGCTCGGCGACAGGAGGGCTGAAAACCCAAGGCTATGTGTGGACTTGTTGTGATGTACATCAGCCTCTTTCACATCGGCATACGTGGCAATGGCCATCCTCCCATGTTTGCAATAGTGGCCTGAGCAACTCCCTCACACGCCCAGCTCCGCCACCGCCGCGGCCGCGCCCCGCAGCGCCCGCGCCGCGGCCGCCGCGGCCGCGGCCTCAGGCGTCGTGCCCTCGGCCCGCGCCGCGTGCTCGAGCGCGCCGGCGGCGCCCTCGGCGGCGACGAGGGCGACGAGCAGGCTTGGTGATCCGGCGCCGGGTGCGGAGGCCTCGTCTTGCAGCGCGTCGAGCAGCGAATCCGTGGCCGCCGCCGCCGCCTCGGCGGCGCCGAAGAGGTCGCCGGCCCCGGCTCGCGCGGCCGCGGCGCGCGCCTGGCGCAGCGCGCCCTCGGCTGGGTCAGACTCTGTCGCCTCTTCGTCTGCCCATGGCACGGCGGCTGCCGGCGGCGGGTCGGCGGGCGCCGTGATTTGCGTGGCACCGTTGCTGCCGCTTCCATTGCCGTTGCCAGAAGGGCTGAATTCGCTGTCTGCTGTTGGCGGTGGTACCGCAGCCACCGGCGCCGCTGCTGCCGCGGCAACAGGATCGGCAGCAGCGGCAGCCGAGTCAGCGGCAACGGCAGGCAGCTGGGTTCCAACAATGACGATGTCAGCAATCGAAAGCAGCGTCTCCGCCGCGGTCGACGCGGCGAGCGCGACCGCGTTGCGCACCGCGCCCGCCCC